AAGTTTTGCGAAGAGGGTAGTATGGTTGTCTAGGGCTGCATTTGACTGAAGGGGAGGAAGAGGGATTGGGTTCGGTTCGCGGTCGGGAAGAAGTCGGGAAGAGGTGTCGCGAAATGGGAGGAGTTCGGCTTGGAGCGTGTGTGAGTTAGGATTTAAAATAGGGATTTGGTTCGAGTAATGTGCGTGAGTTTTGATTTTATATATTTATATATTTATTATTTCATTTAAATGTGTTGATTCGCTCGTGCACAAAACCATATCGAAATGGGTCCCTCGTAGTTAAAATCGATGTTCCGAACATGCTCGCGTGGTCCATTTTTTCATCCAGGGTCATTCGGACATACTTGTCGACGATCCGATCAAAAGCGCGTTAAATTTAGTTTTCTTTGAATTTTGGCTCGTGATTGATCATTTTGACAATTGATTTTAGTTTTGATTACGGTGCAATGTACATAAGTTTTAGTGACGTGGATTGCGATGTTTATGCGCATCGAATGTTTGAATTGTGGTTTTTATGTGTATTGAATGTGAATGTGTGCACGACTAAGTCAGAAAGGGTTTCTCTAATGCCTTTTGATCATATGGGAGCTCTTTTTGGGCCTCCACATGTTGGTGCCAACCACTCAACCCAATAGTGATGGCTTGTGCTCCTAGCTACTCAACCAAATGGTGACGGCTTGTAGCCCTCGCCACTCAATCAAATAGGGATGATTTGAGACCTCCCATGTGAGGTTCCCAAAAGAGCTAAGAGGTGGTTTGAACTTCTAAATGGGGTGGGCTCCCTCACTAGTCTTCAATGATAGTCAATAGGAAAATTCTAAGGCTAGATCCTAAACCTGTAGGAGAAAGAGTTTGATCTCATAAAAAATGATGTCAACACATCCATAACTAAAACCAAAAGATACGGGCTTAAAGTCGATCCATGATGTAATTCAACAAAAATAAGAAAATATTTGGTCAATCCTCCTTCTGTTCGAACACAAGTAACAACTATAGTATACATATCTTTAATGACTTGAATATAAGTCATATGAACACCTTTCTTCTCAAGAACTCTCCAAAGGATATCTCTTGGATACGTAGATCCTTCTTATTATCTCTGAACTTCTCCATCAAACCTCTCAATACATGTATAGCTTCCATAGTAGACCTGCCCGACGGTTATATATAACCGTCACAGGACCAATGTCTAAAAATTCTATCACTTAAAGTACTTCAATGTCAATATTTTTCTATATACGTGTACAAGCACTTTAGTGTTCCCCCCACTAATATCATCAAAGAGTGACTCCATCGTCTCCATCATAATCAATCATGCACATACAAACATTAAATAAAAATATCTTTTTTTAATAATAAATATTTATATCTCATTTGCATAACAATCAATATACTTATAAATCATTTAACATTTTTGATAATTTAAATAATACTGTTCACACATATCATTTCTACAGTATGAACAAAAATTACTATAATTCAAAATCTCGAGTTTATAGTAATTTTAATATAACCAGTGATAGTACCAATAAATGCATTTGCTCTAGAAGAAATAAATATTACTATAGTATAAAATATGAGTATTCATCATGATTATAAGTAATTTGTTATTTGATTTTCATTGATGTTAACCCTTCTAAAATTGATGCCTATAATAAACATGGGTATTAAAAATTAATTTATTGTTTAAAATTTTTACTTTATAGTATTTAAGTGTTAAAATTTTTTATTATTATACCTTAAATAATCCTAAATAAATATGTATGTAACGTGTGTGCGTGTGTGCGTGTGTGCGTGTGTGTGTGAATAAAATATTTATGGCGCTTTCGCTCGTGTTTGCGCTCTGCTAGGGTTTTGCCATGGCGATCCCTGGTTATTATTCCACTGTATCTCTTCGTCGATCAAGATCTACTCTTTCGATTTCGCCATTTCCATCATTTTCACTGTTGTCGCCATTGTCGAAGTGCGTCTCTGCTGCTCTTGCGTTGTCTGTCGTCGCTGCTCGTGCGTCGTCTACTGCGTCGGGCTCAGTCGTCACGCTCGGTACTGGTTGCAGCACTTTTCAGCTTTCAGTTTCTAGCTTTCTACGCAATCCGAAACCACTGTTTGAGCAGGTCGGTCCCTCTTCTTGCTGCAGTTGGTTTCCTCCCTCTTCTTGCTGCAGTTGCTCTAATTGTTAATTTTTCACTGCCCGTCAACGCCTTGCCTCCTGCTTCAACCGGTGATGGCTTCAGACAGAACTTATGCTGTTGCCCTTGCGGGTGTTCACGCCACAAGTACTCCTAAATTGTGTTTTTTTCCGCCTTCCTTTGCATTGGAGGAGGGGGCGAGTTCTGTTACATCAAGAAATTCGGTAGGAAGAATGAGAAACCAATCATCTTTTTTACTGAAGCCAAATGTAATCAGCTTGCTTCCTCATGTCGTCTGAATTTGGTCGGAAATTTTTTTTATGGTCATCTCAAAATGGAGCTTATTCGTAAGGAATTTGAATTTATGCACCTTGTTAGGAAATGAAAAATTAGACTTTTAGATGGGCGGCAAATTCTTATTCAACCTAACAATGAAGAGAATTACACACGCTTTTTTGCTAGAAGATTAGTTTGGATTGATGACAGAGCAATAAAAATTTTGAAATGGTATGTGGATTTTAACCCACAGACGGAGCCACCAACTATTCCGATCTAGATTCTCCTCCTTGGCTTGAAATTTCATTATTTACTCAAGAAATGTTGTACTCTATTACCTCAACTTATGGTAAGCCACTCAAAACGGACGTTCCTACTTTTAATATTTCTCGTCTATCTAAAGTCAGAGTACTTGTTAAAAGAGACATTAATTCATCCGCTTCTGAGGAAATTTGATTTGTTTGACACACAACTCCATGGATATTGACAAAAGGTAGTGACTGAGCCTTTTTTCTTATATTGTTCAAACTGTCGTATGTTCGACCACTCCAATTCTCAATGCCACCATCTACCCCCCCCCACCACCACCTTCATGGATATTGACAAAAGGTAGTGATTGAGCATTTTTTCTTATATTGTTCAAACTGTCGTATGTTCGGCCACTCTAATTCTCAATGCCACCATCTACCCCCCCCCACACCTCCAAAAAAGCAAAGTGCTCCGTCAAAGCTCCCATCCCTTTAGAGCCTCCCATTGTGAGGGAGAGGGAGATTCTTCAAGACCCCAAATGTCCTAGAACCTATCACAGATATTACAGATGACAATACTTCTACTGCTTCACTACCACCTCATCAGCTCGAGCAAGATGTTAATGTTACTCGGGCTCATAAGGATCATAATAAGCAACAGCCCACACCTATACTTCTACTGCTTCACTACCACCTCATCAGCTCGAACAAGATGTTAATGTTACTCAGGCTCATAGGGATCATGATAAGCAACAGCCCAATCATCGGATGAGGAATGACAGATCTACACATCGAAGAGGAAGAAGAAAAATGGAGGCCTGTCAATCATTGGATGAGGAATGACAGGTCTACACATCGAAGAGAAGGAAGAAAAATGGAGCCTACTTGAGCTCAGGAATTTGATGGATTATACTTTGGTTACTCCGGAGAGCTCAGGAATCTGATGGATTATACTTTGGTTACTCCGGGCAATGATACTCACCTTACCGATTTGTTAGCCGGCTCACTTTCGAGGACTAGATACAAAGGAAGAACTAAAGTGAGACTTCCTTAGCACTTTTGCTCCATTTTATAGCTTTTTCGTTTTTTTACCTTTATGTATCTTCATTATTTGAGTTTGTGTGTGTTGTATTGTGTGCGTTGGACTTTCTTTTAGACCCTTTCATACAACCTTTCTGTATCTTTTCTGCTTTAATATATTAGCCCGTTGGCTTTTTCTAATATATATATAGTTATGAAATTTTTTTTAAATATTTTAATTGAGCTTATTAAAATCATCTTATAATTTTTGGTCCAACTCTAATCACACGTACCACTACTTCCCGTGAGCTCCATCTACTGTGCACAATAAAGCTTCTCTACACACGAGAATTGAAATGCACGCACGAGAGAGAGCTTCTTCCTCTGCATCCTCCTCTAAGACTCCCTCCTTACGCTTCTCCTTCGCGTCGGGCCACTTGGACGCTATCCTCTTTGCCCTCACACGTCACAAGCGCATCTTCCTTGCTTCCTCGTCCTCTGCATGATACCGACGCCGGCTCCACTGCTTGACACCGATGCCACCTCAATTTTGATCGAAGCACGGGAATCCTTGGCTAGCGCTGCCATCTCCATATGCGTAGTTCGACTCTTTAGGTAAGTAGGTAGCGATGCTTTATACAGCCAAATTGCCTCTTTGAATTCCGACCCCTCCTCGCTTCCTCTCCCCTCTATCAATGTCCCTACTGCTCGCTTCATCTTCTTCGGCTCTTTGCTTGCCTAAATCTTTGCTTTGTCTTTTTCTTTTGCTCAGCTCTTCAATTTGTCTCCCCCGTGTAATAAAACGGGATGTTACAATGACATAAGCACATTTTAATGAAGCTATGGATTTTTTTATTTTCTTTAATCGAACTCTCCATTGGGTGATAAAATTCAGCATTTTCCAGAAATTACAAACATTTGTCAGTGTTGATTTCAGTAACTGGTGCATGGTTCACTTTATATCCAAAATTCAATGCTTCCTACCCTTAAGTTAATTTTGAAATTAGCAGGTAGTATTGATTATGAAGGCTTTTCTAGGAGTTGTTTTGGTCGTTTTAGATGCTTATTCTGGAACCTAGGGTGATTAAGTTGACTGAGCTGTTTGAACTTGAATTGTTTAGCTGCATTTCTTGGTTCTAAATAAAACGTTAACAGCTTTGGTTTTCTGCCGTCACCTGTGGTGACTATTTTTATTGTCTTATGTACTTTTTCCTATCAGGTTGTTAGATGCTTGTTTTCTTTATTATTAAATTGAGCCATCTTATTATCTCGTGAAATGGTTTGTTTTGGGAATGGTTAAGAGATTTTTACTGAATTTTGCAAATAGGGACCACAATATGTTTGCACAAATTTCTGGACTTTCATTTGTACAAACTGCAGTGGGTTACAGTAAGCATCTCAATCTCTTTACATATTTGGAATATCTTCATGGTAGATTTCTTTTACTATATTAGATGTCTAGTAACTCTTATGCTAATTGAATCTTTGTCTTAGTCGAGAGTTCACTCACCGTGTAAAATCAATATCCATGGCCAAATTTACATCCCAGGAAGTTAATGCACTTCAAGAAGGGGGTAATGAGGTATTTTTATTTATTCATATTTGATACTGAGGCTCTTTCTCCATCGGCAGCATTCTGTTCTTTATTTAACATGAAGTTTCTTCTGTACAGCGTGCTAGGGAAATTTTCTTCAAGGATTGGGACCCTCAACGACACTCTTATCCAGACAGCAGGTTGTTTTTTATTTCTACTATTTTTCTCTTTTTTCTGTAGTATATGAAAATTTTATTCTAGTATTTGGTGTCAGCCATCTTGATAGGCTCAGAGATTTCATTAAGCATGTTTACGTGGAGAGAAGATATGCTGGCGGAAAAAATATTGATGGCCCTCCTAGGGTGAAGGTGGTTCCTGAATATGTATTATATATAAGATCCTTTATAGAACATGCATTTCATTATGAGATGTGGACATCGCCAATTTTTTGTTACTTTTCATTTTCTGTTGCCATATTTGGAAGTTAAATCTGCATTGATTCTACAGAGTGAACAAGAGGACTATGATGAAAACAGAAGCTCCAATACAGATCGTAGCGGTTCACGAAGTCCGCCATATAATGATCCATATGAACGCCGATATGGTGAAAGGCCTGGTTCTACTGGAAGGAATGATGATAGAAACTCTAACTCTAGCTATGAGGCAAGAAGCCCTAGCTATGATCAAGGCGGTTATAGGATTCCTAGCCATTTTGAGTTGAGAGATGAGATGCACCGAGATGATAAAGCTAGAAATGAAGTTCAAAGTCCAAAATCTTCTGAAAATAGAATTTCGGATGGATTACCAAAGCCTGGAGTTTCTGACCATCAAAAAGGTGCATATATTTCAAGTCCTCCAATGGTGCGTCCTGTTAGAGATATATTGGGTGATAATGTCCCCTCTCTTCGGGTGGGTGAGCCTCCAAAGATGAATGGTGGAAAAGTGCCGAACATTCCTTTAGAAAAACAGGTTCAATTTTACTTTCTTATTCAAAGATGAATCTGTTGTATTTTGTTGATGTGTTTAGTGGTTAAGCATGTGTTTGCATATGGCTGCTGCAGTTTTCTTGAGTACATTGAAGCTATCTTTCTGAATAAACTGTGGCATTCATCTTATCATCTGCCCACTTGTGTGATCTACCATTAATATCTATCATCTGCGGCGGTTCCTGCTTTGCATTATATAAGAATAGCTGGATATGTCATCAGTTGTCATGATTAGACTTCCTTTCTCTTGCTTTCTCTCTCTCTCAACTCTTTTGTAAGGGTTATTCTTAAGATGGTGCAGCACTTTGGGGAACAGATTTGAACTTGTGACATCCTTTCTTTAGAGAGCAGGACTACTTTAATTATTGAATTCCTTGGTCGTTAAAGTAAGTCAACTAAGATCATTTTTTATGTCTTGGGCATGTTGTATAAAAATGATATTAATTTATCATAATTAAATGAATATATGATACTCAATAGGACACAGTGGAGAAAAATGATTCATGTAGCCACTTAGTGGGATAAAGGCTTGTTGTTGTTGTTGAAGCATTTATGTCTTTTAAGTATGCCTTTTACTGAGCATGAATCAAATTTATGTTTTTCGCATTTGAAATTCTTTGTAATATTCACTTTATTTGGTTTAGAAGTTGTTCATCCTCACCATTAACCTTATTCCTAACTATTTTACATCATGAATTATTCTGCTTTCACTTTAGTTGAGAGCTACATGACCTCTTATTCCAGCTTGTGCAAGTTCTTGTGAATAAATTCTACTAGGTTTACTGTGGTCTATCTTTTCTTTTTTTCTAATTCTTTCGTATTAATTTTTTTGCAATCTTATTTGTGCATCGTCACTATCTCTACGATGTTTATCCAAACTATGCAAGACTTTTTGAACTTTAATAGACTCTACTTCATAGTTTGTCTATCATAAGCATATCGTTCTTAAACCTTTCTGAGTTTATCCCACATTCATCCTTTATTTAGGTTCATTATTTTGTATATTATAACTATTAATTTATTCTTTGAATTACCATGATTATTATGAAATTTTATTTTTCTTGCCAGAGCTCTACTTTAAGTTCCAAGGGGCCTAATGATGAGAATTCAGTGGAGTTGAAGAGGGTAAATCTGGGAAGTTTAATCGACTTCTCTGCAGACCCTGAGCCTCCTGTTGCTGGTGTAGCACAGGAACCTTTTGCTCAGCAAAAGATCTCTACACCTGCTAATAGTGGTGGTTGGGCATCTTTTGATGTTTCTAGTCAGCAGAAGGCTCCAGAGGCAGCTTCAACTTCAGGGGATTTGGAAACTGTGTTTGCACAACTGTCGATTCAAGCACCTACAACAGTTGTTAACTCTGCTATATCACCTGCTGCAAGTATCGACTCTGTTTCCATAGCAAATAATGGTGGACAATGGCCACTTGTGTTCCCAGTTGCTTCTAGTCAGCCAACCAATCCACTAGTCCATACACTTGTTGGTTCCTTAAACAACCCGGTAATTTTTTTCAATCAATTTATTTTTACTGGGTTATTTTGTGCATCCAGTCGTTTTTTATTTTAATTACTGGAATTTTAAATTGTAACCATGAAATGTTTCTTTTATAGGTACCTGCTCGGCCGGCTGCTCCATCAATTCCAGCAACTGTGCAGGGTGCTGTGGCTGTTCTTGACGGCCAAACTTCTAGCTCTGTCATGCATCTGTCAAACAGGCCTGAAAACTTTCAGAACCCTTTAGAGGCTAAGAATAGCGGAAGGAAAGAACTACCAGCGGTAACATTTGTGTAAACTATATTTCATAAAGATTAGGGTTAGAGTAAATTGTAATTAAATTTCTACTGTTTTGACCCACAAAATGTTTGATTCTCAACTTTTGAAAGTTCATTGTTAGGTTCCCTAGTTTTGAAAATTTTCATCTAGACCATCCAATTTACTAAAAAGATATATTTGCTGATTTTGAGGAATTTCTCACAAGCACTCTGATGAAAACTTTATATAGGTCTTTACTGCATTATCGTCTATAATTCTGTTGTTTGATTTGTTCTAAAAATGCATCAGGGCGGCAGCCTCCAATGCCATCTTTCTTATCCCTCTTTAGTTATCTTGCAAGATTAGAGTTGATACCCTTGACTTTCTATCATTTTCATGATTATATGATTTGGATATGTTCATTCTCTTCCCATCACTTTTTTGTTATCTATTATTTTATTTTATTCTATTTATTTTGTTTTTTTAGAATAAGCTACGTTGTTTCCTTTCAACTAACTGCCCACTTACTCAGCGCTTTGCCATGAAGCATTCTCAAATTTGTTAGTCTTTCTTCCACCCATCCAGTTATCCATTTCTGAAGAATGGTTGGTGAGTCACAATCCCAACCCTTCTCAAATTTGTTAGTCTTTGGTTTAGAAATTTTTTATTTAGAAAATTGTATGGAAAATTTATCAATACTTATTGCATCTAATTGTGAAACTTTTAAAATATGGAACCAACCAATTATTATTTAACTCGAGCTGAACGGTCTTCATGTAATTTATTCAGAATCTTATTGATGATTCTTTTGGAACTTAATTGCCTTATTTTTATGCTTGCAGGACCTATTTACTGGGTTCTATCCAACATCACCTGTTTCATATCCAGGGTGGAGAGTTGGACCACGCCATGGCATGGTCTACAACATGCAATATCCTGTCATGCTGGTGCGCATTAATCTTGCATTTGATCCTCCATAAGAGTGTTAATTAAATATATTCCAGTCATTCTTGTTACCTAATATGATATACATATGGTGCTGCTCAGCAACCTGTGACGACTCACAAATACCCAGCTTCAATGAATCCATTTGATCTTGCTAATGAGTCAGTTCCAGTTCCCAATCCTATGGTATGTCTAATCCTCCAAGTACCTTTTTTGCTGCGAGCATGAAAGGTATAGACATGCTTATGAAACAAAATTTCTCCCCATAATTAGTTAATAGATAATTTTTTTTTTAAATGTCTATTCTGACATTTAGTGGGATTAAGGCTTTGTTGTTGTTGTTGTTGTCTATTCTGACATTTTTTTACCATATATGAACACTTAGAATCTGCCAAAAAATTCAAAATTTTATGACATTTTTATTTTATATCTGGCATAAATTCTTTTTAATTTAGATATGTTGGTAGTAGGGCTTCAATGAGCTTATAGAAAAAGATGTCATTGTGCGATTGCCTTTTTTGTTGATTATTGGTAAAAAAAAAGGAAAAGATTCATTGAATGAGCATGAAGTGCATCCCCACGAGTCTAGTGGATTGCTTGTGATTTGGTATTTCTCCAGATGATCAGTGTTGAAATCCTATTTTCCACCTTTGGCATGCATTACCCGAAAATGGAGAGAAGTGTGAGAAGTTGCTTCACACTGAAAGTTGAAAGAAATATTTTCTGAAATTCTTGTTAGTTGTCTTGTCATAAAATCTATAGGCTTTCATGTTCCTGAGCCCCATAGTTATCAAAATGTTTTTGTTCATGACTGAAGAGTTTGTTTATTACTTATGAATGATCGCTGCTGAATTAGTAGTGCGTTTCTTTGAAATTGTTGTGATTGGAATGCTCTTATGGGATATTTGGTCACCTGTCAGTAGACGTGAATATGCTATGAAATCTGTATAGGTATTATTCTTTTATTGAATGATTTAATCGTTCAGTCTAGATCTTATATTGAATCTGTATAGGTATTATTCTTTTATTGAATGATTTTGTCTAGATCTTATATTAAGTTGAGCTCAAGTAAGCTTACATAAACTTGAAATTGAAAATTTTGATTCCTAGTTGAATTGGAATCAAGATACTTTTTGAGCAAGCTAATTTACTTAATTCATCAATTTTGATTGACTCGAACTGGGTTTTTAGTGGAATCAAACTTCAACCATACACAAAACTATGTTCTTTAGATTCAGAAATCAGAATAATGGTGCCAAGCACGGACACATATGGTGTTGCAAACACTGCAACAAAATAGAATTGTAAAAATAGGACACACTTTGCTATTTGATATATTATACTCTCTTAAAAATTATTAGCATAAAATGTTTAGTTATGATATTTGGTATTGGCATTTTCTATTAAAGACATCATACATTAAAGCATAATATAATATACTTTACACTTGAAGCTTAATAATACAAGAGAGAAATAAATATTTTAATAACAAAAGAAATTTCCTACATTATTAGTATTAGTCATCAGCCATTAAATCCAACTAAAACAAAATACACACATTTTAATAATAACATAAGAAGCTTGATAATATATTAATTTCTAATTTTACCAGAAAAAAAAAATTAAAAAAATAAAACAAATGAAATTATAGTTGGGGTAAAGTGAAGGCTTTTAGGCTTTGTCTGGGGGAGCTTCTTCTTTTAAAAATATTTTTTTTAAAAGCAAAAGTTAGAATAAAATGCGATTTAAAACGATAGTTGCAAATGTAATATTACCATTTGAATAAAAAAAAATTATGTGCTTTTTAACATTTTTACATATATTTTTTAATTATGAATGATTTTACTAACCTAGGTATTAAATTATAAGGAAAATTACATGCACAACACATGGATTTACTTATCTCACACCTACAGTTTTATTTTTAGACACATCACTTTACCTATGGATAAAAAGATAGATTTGACTATTAAAAAAGTAGTAATGAGTGCTATTTTTCATATTGTGCTTTTTAATATGAAAGTTTAGTGTGAGATCGGTAAATCCATAACAATTGGATGCCATGTATGTAAATGCTCCTAAATTTTAATCGGGTCATAGAAACTATGGTAGATCGGTAATCAGAAAAATTCAAGATGATGGTGATTTTTTTTTTTTTTTTGACATTTTCTATGAAGGGCAGCTGTGTGTGAATAAATTTAAGGGTATAGTTGAATTTTTTTATTATAAAACCACTAACAACACATGAAAAGCTCCGATACATTTGGGGTGATAAAACAATAAAAAATATGTTTGGAAAAAATGAGCCACAGCGTAAGTCATGATGCTAAAAAATTAAAAAAGTTTAAGGCTTCTCAAACAAGGCCTTAGGCCGCTAGCAATAGCTAAAATACCCGAGTGGGCAAGGGTTGAAAGATTTGGATGCTAGGGCTATGAGAAGGATTCTTATGATCGGCTTCTCAAACAAGGCCTTAGGCCGCTAGCAATAGATAAAATACCCGAGTGGGCAAGGGATGAAAGATTTGGATGCTAGGGCTATGAGATGGATTCTTATGATTTATTGTTATGGTTAATGCATGATAGATGTTGAAGAGCTCTAACTATGTGAAGCTTTTAAGATGGCACACCATTAGTGGTGATTGACACTTTTTACGATGTTATTTTTAGTGATATAAAACCTTTAAAAATAGTGCTAATGGAAACTTCATAAATTGATTATAGAAATACCATAAGGAAGCTAAAAATAATGCAACAATTAAACAAATTAATTAATGAAAAGGGATCAATAAACATGTAATGTGGATAAACTAATATAAATACTGGATAAGTAATCTGTCATAATATAATTTATTATACTAAAGTATCTTAGCGAAACACTCGTTGTTGGTCTAATTATGATAAATGATAAAGAAAAATGAGTTTATCATTATTAAGCTCAATGTGAAATGATTAGCTACTCAATTATGCTACTCACACAATTCTAATTATGATAAATGATAAAGAAAAATGAGTTTAGCATTATTAAGCTCAATGTGAAATGATTATTCATTAGGATTATATTACAACAGCGTCCAAAGAATCATAGACTAATAATAATTTTGAAATAAATAAACTATTGTAAGAATGGCTATTAACAAGTTGAACATGATTACATAACTACTCAAATAAAGTTAGCACAATATCATTTTAAAACATTCATTAAATTAACATTCCAAGCGAGAACAATATTAGTAAAATGAAATCTAACTGCAGGAAGATTAAAACTATATATATTTATGGATATCAAGCTATTTACGTTGATTGGCCGATCTCAAGGCAAACTTGTACACTTAGTTTCAATTTATGATTCCACTATGAAGTTTTCCTTGCAAACTTCTTTCTTAGTTGTGAAGAAAGACGACACTGTTGCTTTCCTTCTAGATGAGTGCAATTATACCTTATAATACGCAAGTATAACTTTTTTACAAGAAACTATGTTAATTAAACTTTTGTGAAACTATATTCCCCTTCTAATCCTTTTATATAATTCCCAAAAAAATTAAATATGTAATTAAAACTTTTAAAAACAAACAAAATACGTACCAATAAAAAAGCTTATAAGCCATGTAAAATATATTACCAATAATGAAGAACTCAAAGAAAAGATTTGGATGAACACCTGAAAAACCTCTTGAAAAATTTTATTTAATTTACGATAAATTCTCAAATAAGTTTATTATTTTACTTCATTTCATAAAAAAACATCTCATATTTATATAGCCTCCCAAAACTTATCCCAAAAAATAAAAATAAAAAAAAAAACCTTAAAACAAATGGCCTGAAAATTGCTTATCAAAAGGCGGCCAATGACTAATATGAATTCTCCCAATAGTTCTTCAAGTTAAATTTTATTAAAAATAATAATAATCTTAAACAGTATAATACATGCAATTTTAAACAAAAGTATGTTATGCAATATATGAAAGCAATTAATATTTTATAAAATATAATATATTCATTTTAATTGAATGTGCTATGCAATATGTTAAATAACGTGTGAAAAATCAAAGAATCTAATTGAATAGGTATTACACATAAAATTATTAATTATAAGATGATTTATTCATTAATACTAAGATTTATTGAATTTTTAAATATATATATTTGTGTGTGTACTTGCGTGTGCATGTGATAATAATTTTTAGTTTGTGTAAAAGGTTTAGATCTATTTAAAATATTCATATATATAACATACTTTTTTAATGAATATGGTTTAAGCATACTTGTTTTGGAAAATTGGATGCTATGTATGACCTATGTAAAATAATATAAACATGTTGAAGAATAACTAAAGTAAAAAACATTAATGATATTTGAATCAATACTTTATACTTAATTGGATGAATATTTAATAATTGTTCTTTTAAGCATATTTATACAAACTTAATATATATAATAAGATATAAAGAATCAATTGAAATTGTTATATATGTAGATGATCATAATACTTGTATATCCGAAAGAGCCCAAATTCAAAGCGAGTTCACTTGGAACTAATAATAATCACCATTGATCACTTGCATTGGGTTTGAGGATTGTTCACACAGGCTTAGTGGAGCGCTTGCCCAAGCTTTAGGTCTCGACAAAGGAAATTACACTTTCATTGGGTCTGAGGACTATACATTACCTCAAATTTTTTTTTGCCTTATAGTGTCATTGAGGATTTGAAAACACTTTTGCACATGAGAATTTAGAGCCAAAGAATGTATGAGAAGGGGAAGTTGCCTATATCAATTGGCTGTTGGGGTTTTTTGGATTTTTACATTCACTCTTTCAAAAGGTGAAGGTTTGCTTGTTTAAAAGAGTACAATTGTATCTGAATTTGGATGCAGACAAATGTAGTTTCGATTTCCTTTTTTTTTTTTCTAAAGACATTTAAGTGGGTTTCTTAAGATTTGATTTACTATTTTTTGCTTATCTGCTAGTTTGTAGATGAATCATATAACTTTCATACGGTCTTTTCAAAGTGCTAAATAATTTAACATCACGATCATACATATTGGTTGAAAGAATGCTTTCTAGATGCACAATTTTTTAAAGAACAGTTAAACAATGTGAGGAGCATAATAAATCTTGGAGTAGGGTAGGACATGGGGCATAAAAATTCAATTGTTTTCTTGAACCATGCGAGGCAGTCTTAAAATAAA